CCTTTGGATGCGGGACGAATGACCTAGTTGTTCAAAGTACTCACATTCATTCATAGACTTTAGTGCAATTGAAATCGAATAGCTGATAAGTCTTCTTTCCCATAGATGACACTTCAACACATCAACACTGTAACAATCAACATCAATAACACTCATCTCTGCACAACACTGTCTGGTTTAAACACCACTCTTAATTCCTTTGGTTTAAACACCGCTTCTCTGGTTTAAACACCACACATTTCTCTTTGGTTTAAACACCGCGCCTTTCTCTTGGTTTAAACATCACTCTTATTCTCTTGGTTTAAACACCACTTCTGGATAGGTCTGGATCCTTAATCTGGGTAAAATCCTACAAACCTTTTTTGTTTAAACACCGCCTCTTTGGTTTAAACATTGTTCCCTTGGTTTTTACACAATTTTTGTCTCTCATTTGGTTTAAACGCCACTTTCCTTGATTTAAACACCATTTCTACTTCCTCATCGGTCTAAACACCACTTCTCCAGTTTAAACATTGCTCTCTTGGGTTAAACACTACTCCTCCGGTTTAAACACCGTTCTCTTGGTTTAAATACCACTCCTCTGGTTTAAACATTTTTCCCTTTGTTTAAACACCACTTCTACTTCTTCTTCAATTTAAAAACTTCTTTCCTTAGTTTAAACACCATTTATACTTCCTCTTCAGTTTAAATGTCGTTTTCCTTGATTTAAACACCATTTCTAATTCCTCTTTGGTTTAAACACCACTTTTCTGATTTAAACACCGCTCTCTTGGTTTAAACACCACTCCTCCGTTTAAACACCGCTCATTTGGTTTAAATGCCACTTATATCACCTTTACCCCTTCTTAGGTTTAAACACCACTTCCATCACCTTTACTTCCTATGTGGTTTAAACACCAAATCTTTTTTCTATCCTAGGTTCCATGAACTACAAAGCTCTGATTTTCTCATTGCACTATGAAAATACGTAGGCACGAGGCCTCCAATCCTCCGTGAGCACACTAATTTAAAACTTTTTTCCCTTTTGCAAGTAACCTTCAGATAGTAACACCCATCCACGCAAAAACAATCAAAAAGGTTCCCGTGAGTACAAGAGAGGCGAGGGATACTAATAGTTTCCTCTCGCATAACCAACTCCTTTACCCGTTTCTCTTCCCTTTAAATGTTAATGATACTTTTTATTTTCTTTTGGAATAAATAAAGTTCGATGGCGATTCTGTTGTATCTTCGAGCATGCGATGCGTTCGGGTTTTTTTGCGCCGCGACACAATGTGACTCACATTGTTCTCTCACAATTGTGTGGGGTGGATCTGCAAGGTTAACACTTCAACGCCGAAGTTAGTATTTGACTAATGAAGATGGAGTGAATTGTGGCTTGAAAATCATACTTATTTCCATGTCAATTATGGTATTTATATGATGAGTCAAATTGGGCTTCTTGGTCTTGGGCTTGAGGCTGGCCCAAAACACCTAGCTAAAAGGAATAAAGTAGTGCAAGTAAAATTATCAAGTTCAAAGTAAACCAAAAAGTTTAAAAATGAATGAACTTATTAAAATGCGTTGTTAATCTCAAAGTGTCTTTGATTGTTTATTTTATTGGTCATGTCCCATCACCCAAGTATATATCATGATTCAAGTTTGGAGGTGTGATAACTCATTTGTTGTAAGATAGTTGAGTCCTTAATGCTTGAATTATTCATTGAATTTTTACTAAATTAGGTTTAGTTTATTGTGTTTCCTAATAATTAGTCTTAGTGATGAACACACTAGGTGATTTAATAAAAATCAAAATAAAATAATAAAATTTTCTTACAATTTATCCGTTATTCTAAGATAAAGGGAGATTTTTATAAAATATTTATTTCCAGATACCTGGCGCCAAACATGGGATTATGCTTTATTAGTAGTTGGAAAACATGTCATTTTACAACAACCTAATTCCATGAAGAAAATTCATTCACGCAATGTTTTGTTCATTTGCCATAAATAATTAGTGGGCACCCCGAGGACAAGTATGAAGTGTAATCCTCTAGATTAAATACAGGCAGAAATTAATCATACGTACACTCCACAAAAGATTTTTAAAAGAACGTTTTCATTTTATTTATATTTGACTATATGGAGGAACTACTAAGTCAACATTTACTTCAATGCAGGAGAAGAAACTACTAAGTCTTTCAAAGAAAAATAATTGTTTTGCAGATTTTCTGAGAGTTCAATGAACATTTGAGATTTGTTTATTTCATTACCTGTAAAGGTGGTTTCAAGCTTTTCAATAAAAATAAAATATAAGGTTCTTTGAAAAGTAACATATATTTTAGCTAGTTTATAATTTATAATTTATAAACTTATGTAACAATAAAAGATCGGTTTCCTTTTATAATAAGTTTATAATTTATCATTTATATTTTTTTTCTTTTATTTTTATATTTATTATTTTAATTAAATATTTTTATTCTTTATAATTTATTTTAGTTTAAAATAAAATATTTTTTATTAAATATTTTTTGTGTTATTTTATATTTATTAGTTAATTGAACCGTTAATTTTATTAAATATTTTAAAGAGCTTATCGATTATCAGTCATCAGTCATCAACTATAAATTATAAACTATCGATTATCAAGCATCAGACATAAAATGTACGACATCAACAAACTTATTAACCAACTACTATTTTTATCAAACAAAGCAATAATTAAGAGTTGGTTAATCTCTCACATATGAATTTACTTCGACCATGACACACGGGACGATTCGTCACGTCGATAACTGACTTGTTGTCAACAAACAACTTCATTTTCATATGGCTCATTATCTTAAGCTCTTCGAGCAACATCTCTTTCCTTGCTGCCTGAAATGCTGCATATGATGCAACCACATACTCAACTTCATAAAATGACAAAGTCACAATGCTTTACTTCCTTGAGCTCCATGATATTAGAACGCCTTCGATCATGAATATGTAGTCAACAATACTTTTCTTCTCGTTTTGATCTTCAATGGAATCTGAATCAATGTAACTATATACCTCTGCATTTGTGTTGGTCTTCTTCTATCATGATCAATTGTATCTTTGATGTATCTCAACACTCTCTTGATTGCAGTGAGATGACATTTTTATGGTTTCTCCATAAATCTGCTCAATAGTCTGACACTTTGACAGATAGTTGGCCTGGTATTGCAAAGAAACCTCAATGATCCAATGATTTGTTTGTTGCACTTACAAACTCATTATTTACATCCTTCCTCAACTTTGCTCCAATTTCTAATGGTGTAACAACTGCATTATAATTTCTCATTTTGAACCTCTTAAAGACATCTTTGACACACTTCTTTTGGTGCAGGAACACTCCTTCACATGTATTTTTGAACTCCATCCCTAAGAAATATGATAAACTCCCTAGATCGAACATTTCAAACTCTTGCATCAGCTTCGACTTAACTCTTCTTATCTCTGCTTTATTTACACCTATAATCAGCAAGTCATTCCTACAAGCATAAGATGGTTCAACTGACCTTATATGTATCATTGACATACACTTCATGTTCAAAGATACACTTTATGAAACTTGTTCCGATTAGGAAGCTATCTATTCTCGTATTCCAAGCTCTTGGGGCTTACTTTAAACCATAGATAGTCTTTCTCAATTTGTACACCTTCGACTCTTGTCCTTTGATTTTGAATCCTAATGATTGACTAATATAGATTTCTTCTTTCAGAGATCCATTCACAAAAATCAGAAATTCTATATATCCATAATGTCCCAAATGAATAGAAGTATTCCGTTGCAGCCTTGTTGGATGTATAGATTAGTTGGAGTACATAGGCTCTTTCATTAATGGTTGCTAGAAGTAAAAAATGTTGACTTTAAATTTGTGAAAGAATGAAGAAGATTACTCTTTCCATTTTAGTGTGCGACCCACACTTCTAAAAATATGAAAATACCTCTAATGTCTAAAGATGAGTCTCCGAACGCACTTAAAATCAAATCAACAAAAATGTTACAAGACATCTTTATTTTGCCTAAAGAAAATGTCTAGAGATGCATATCTGAATGTTAGAGATATATTTCTGAATGCTAAAAAATAATCATAAATCTTCTTTTGTTGAGTATCTCTTTTGAAGATAAAAAGACCCAGAACGAAATACAGATTGTTTTATTAAATATATATTTGTGAAGCGAAAGCATTGAGAGAAACCTGGGAATTTTGGTAGTTGACATTCTTTTCTGATTAAATTGTTTCTTTTCATATTTCCCTGTTATTAATATCCTTTTTCCTTCTTCAAGTAAGTGAATATTTTTTTACTTGCATTGATTGACAGAGAAAGAGATGGGGAGGATGTTTGGGCGCACTTTGTTGTTTTGGTTCACAAAATGGTGGGAAGTGCATTGTGTATGCATCTCCGATTCCTGATAATAATGGTTCAGCCTCAGACATAGTAGGTCATTTTACGAAGATACATCTCCGAAATTAAAAGATGCATCTCTGAATATTTTTTTTGTTGGATAAAATAGAAATATCTCACTTATAACGTCTTTATTGATATAATTTTTAAGTGTATCCAGATATGCATCTCCAGACGCTAGGAGTATTTCGTGAAAGCGTAACCTCCAAGAATGAAAATGAATTCATTTTAACAAGTAACCTCCATTCACATTCAAGCCTTCAATTTTTTAATATTTTCATTATAACAAGTGCTTTTTGAGAACTTTTCCCCCACTAATTCTAAGTTCAAAACAATACATATCTTTCTCCATTTACGCAAATCCAACCGAAGCATAAACAAAACCAACACAAGATACCTATGTCGATGGCGAGCTTATCATCGGAGTACTATGGTTCTCAAGTTTTTCAAATGCCACCTACTCACCTTAGCCTCCAGGAAGCGCAGATACTATCAAGTTTAACATGTACCGCACCTTTCGGAATTTGCGTCACTTATGTACAGTTCAATACATGTGTCTTTGGATCCATCTCATAAGAATACTCATTCACCTAAGGAGGAAGATGGTTGTCATGCAAATGAGTTGAGCTTGCATTGTGAAACGGGGATGGAACATTATGGAACATAGCAGCCGGCACCATGCTGTGAAACTGCATTGGCACGACATTATGTGACCTTAGATCAGTAGCCTCCTGTCACAAGCAAATACAGACATTTTAAATTTGAAACCACATGTTTAAACTCAGAAAACAAGCAATTCGATGAAAGGAAATTCGATCAATCGACATAATTTATTCCTCAAAATTTGAACACATTATTAATACCATTTGTTAACTTATGATTATAGAAAAAATCAAGGCATAACATACCATTCGTTGAAAACCATCGTTACCGCTAACTACTCCAAGCTGAGGTACCTGTAACATAAAGAATGCCAAGTTAAAGACAAATTTAAAAGAAAACGATTACATCACACAATCGGCAATCACCAAAAAAACTGACCTTTCCTTTATTTCCTTCAATGTTTTCGACACTTCCTAGACTCCTACCAGCCACACCAGTCCTCGCAGGTTTCTTACCCGTATTCATCTTTGGATCAGACACCTTATCGGTAGATGTACTAACAGATTGATACTCTTCTACAACATTGCAACCAACATGAGTACTAGCTAAGGCTGCATTCTCAACAGAGTTGTTCAAATTCGCACATTGCTTTAGAGCTTCAGTTATTGCACCTAAAGCCATATGGTAACTTTCTTGGGATAAAGAACCTTCTTCGCCCAATATTATGGCTCGTCTGCATAAATCGTTGAATCTCCGGACCTTGGATTGAACGTCTTCCAGTTTTTCACCAATAAGATGCCTACTCAGAGCAGCATTTGTCCATCTTTTCAATATATACTTTGTCGGGATGTTAAAAACACCGGACATTTGGAGAACGACAATTGCATGTCTACAGAGGTAACCTTTATATTCAAACAAGTGACAGGAACAACATATATCCGAGTTCGATGTGTTCCATTCTACCATGTAGTTCTGATCATTTTCAAAGTCTTTCACATTATAAGTAGCAATCACACCGTCATTTTCTTTTTTTAGATGGCACGCAGAAGCACCCAAAACCTCAAACTGAAATTTTTGATAGATTTCGTGAGTGTAAACTAACAACAATTGTTTTTCAAACGGGGAAGGAGACTTTAACTCGGGTGTTTCATGCCAAGCATCAAAATTTGCCTTGGCTTCCTCTTCGTATCTATCTTCAAGAATCAATCGGTACTGTTCAATAAATTCTCTCAGTGAAGTATCAACTTGGACATATTTATCGAACAAAGAATTTAAACTTTCTGAGCGTGAGCCAGTAGATAAGCCGGCAAAAGAAACATCCCTCATAAATGTTGGCACCCAACACGCTCGATCATCGTACAAGGATTGGACCCATTTAACATCTCGAAGTTTAAACCTATCAACCAGCTTCCACCATCTCCTTTCAAATTGGTCCTCTGTCCATGATTTAAATATACATTTGTTGAACTTTTCCATAAAGCTATCATGCCATGCACCTAAAAGTTCAAGGTGTTTTGGTATCTTTTCCAAAACATGCCACAAACAAAAACAGTGTCGCGTTCCTGGAAAAACAGCAGCAACAGCAGCTTTAATAGCGTCGTTTTGGTCGGTCAGAAACACTTGCGGAGCACGTTCTCCCATTGCTATAAACCATGTGTGCAGTAACCAGGCAAAAGTATAAATCGTCTCATCAGCTATCAACGCACATCCAAGCAATGTCGGTTGAACATGATGGTTAACTCCAATGAAAAGCACCAACGGTATTTTATACTTGCTAGTAAAATATGTTGTGTCAAAAGAAACAACGTCAGCAAAATAACCGAAATCTTCCAACCCTTTAGAATCAACCCAAAACACATTTCTAAGTCGATGCTCTTCATTCAAATCAATCGCATAGAAAAATTTTGGATTCTCTTCCTGCATATGCATGAATAATTCAAGAAGCAACTGAGCATTCCCCGTTTCTAAAACCAAACTCCGTCCTTTGTCATTTTGACGATTCATAAATCTCTCTAAACAATCAACATTCTGATAAGCACTAAATAACTTACCACCTGCAGTCGAGTTCTTCTTCCGCCGCATCCGAACATCATTACTCAACGGATCGGAATTCCGATGACTTCGAAAAAAATGAGCTTGATCAGGCAAAAGCTCATGATTATGCTCCTTCACAAAACTAAAAACATACCATTTACCATCCGGTCTTCTCTTCACATGCAAGCTTGCTTTACAACCGATTTTCGGCGACGGACGCGGATTAATTGCATCGTCCGATTGTTGCTTATTACCATATCTTATACATGAAAATTTAGCATCAATAAATTCCTTCGATGCCCTAGACCGGCGACTACTTAACTTAGCAGTACCAAACCCTACAGACTTAGCATATTCTTTGTAAAATGAATATGCAGCTTCATGAGATTCAAATTCCATTTCATTATTAGGTTCTGGAATTGTATTACCCATTACATTAGAATAATCCATAGTTTCTACAATAACATTAAGATTTCTCAGATCCACAAAACTTCCAAAACAATTTTTTCACATGTTCAACATACAAATTATACAACAGTTTTCCTCTCAATAATCTGATTTCAATGATGTACCTAAATGGAGGAACAATGATTTATTGAGAAATTAAATAAAGCAGAAGCTAAAAATTTGATTTTCTGATGTAGTAATTCAATTTGTTAAAATTATGTTGGAATACTATTGGGAGAAGTGAAAATGAAAACCTGGACGGATTTGGGGCTGTTTGCGGCGGCGTCGGATGAACTCCGGCGGAGGTTTCCGGGAGGTTAAGAAGTTCAGTTCTGTGACATCAAGTTGGGGAAAGTGACCGGGGATGTTTTTTTTTTTTTTTTTTTTGAGATGCTGAGCTTTGTGTTATACAGTTCAATTGTTTTTTCTTTTTTTGTCAAAAAATTTAGTTGATGTTTTTTTGTTTAATGAATAATGGGCCTCTTCAAAATGAACTGCATTGGGCCTTGAATTAGAATACTATGTTCTTCTTAGACATTTTATCCGGCCACCCCGCAATTTGACCTAACACCCCCACATAAGGGGTATTATCATGATACCCCGTGTGATTTTTAAGTTTTTGAAAAAATAATTTGTTTTCCAAATTTTTGAAAAATTTGTGTTTTTACTGGACTTTTGAGAGTTCTATAAGTTTTATCGGAGTTTTTGGAATCTCATGAGTTTTTATCGAATTTTTTAAAATTTACCGGATTTGAACTATCGGATTTTTCGAAACTCTGAATTATTACTGGATTTTTTTAATACACTACCGCATTTTGAAATTTTTACCAAAATAACCTAGTTTTTCAAAAACATTTCCAAAATACCTCACATTTCAAATTATTTCTCAAAGTACCTCAATTTGGGGTACTGATTACATGGTGGCGCCATGTGGATTGATAATCCTTCACAAGGGCTTGAATGGTGGCGCCAATTGGATTGGAGACACCTTCATAAGGGCTTGAATGGTGGCGCCAATTGGATTGGAGACACCATGAGGTGTTTCCAATCCAATTGGCGCCATCATTCAAGCCCTTGTGAAGGGTTTCCAATCCACATGCGTGGTGTCTTCAATCTAATTGGTTATTGGGTCTAATACTTACAAGGAAGTCGCCAACTGATATGGAGACAGCCTTGAAAGTGAAATTTTTTTTCTATAAATAGAGGTGTTTTGATCATTTGGTTCCACAGGTCATCTCATATCTTTGTTCCACTGATAACATGTATCATCGTTGGTGGGAAACAATGGTTTATTCGAGAGAGAAGCCTTCGATAAACATGTTATTTTGGAATATTCAAAGGTTTAATTAAATTAAGAGGGAGCTGAATCGGTGGTTAAAAGGAGACATTAGTGAAGGAGAAAAAATTTGATGTATCGAAATACTTGATCGCCTGCGTGGATGGGTTCGCGTTAAGACAAACAAGGATACGAGGGAAGTCATGTTTGGACCGAATGAAATTTGTTTGATTGTTGTAATAAGTTAGAAATTTTTTATGTTTCTTTTTTGTTATTTATTTTATGTGTCGCGTATATGAACTCTGGCCCAGGTCCACACGCCAAACTCACCGTTTCACTTATTTTCTAAGTCAACTAATCAGACTTAATCTCAGCCATCCAGTTTAAATCCCAGTCAATGGATCCAAGGGTTACAACACAGACACGCACGCGGAGGGGTGCCAAAACCAGATGGTGGCTTTAACCCCTCCGATCATCTTCTCCGATGACTCCATCATACAATGAATTTAAAACCTCACCAAAACTCCAAATTTTTGATACCATTCCACTCGTCTCAATCAGCAGGTCATGATTCCATGGTTATTTTTTATTCTTGGTCCATAACTAAGGGAAAACGAAGGCATTCAAGAATGGAGGTTCAACCATAAATCATCACAAACAAACCCTAAACCAATCCAGAAACAATCTAGGAGCCTAGGGGAGCATGAATATGTGAAAATGGCATGTGATTATGGCATAAACAGAGAGCAATTGTGAAATGTAACTTACCTAACGGAGCAACTCCGTTGGGTCTTGATTTGAAGATGAACCTTGATCAAAACCACCCAGAAACGTTCTACAATACTCAAGGAAGCTTCAAGTAGTCTCAATTTGGCTTGAGATGGCTTAGATTGCAAAACTCGATTTCAACTTCTCCTTGAGTTGTTGTAACTGAAATCTGATCCAAACTTCATGAAAATCACCTTCTGAACATTGCTTCTTCATCTAGAAGCTTTATAATTTGGATCTGAATCCTTTGGAGGCCCAAATCATGGCCTGTTTTGATCAATTGGAAATCCAAATTTCTTCACTTGAAACCCCAAAATTGGCACACGAATTTGGTTCAAAAAGCCTTGAATTTGGCTTCAATGCATTGCTTATGATATGTGCTAATCCAAGGGACAGAAATAAACCCTTAATTTGATCTTATGGTGAGATTTGAACATATACCTTCATGATGAAGCAACCTTGAAATTAACCATGTTAATGACCTCAAATCTCCATTCTGGTTTGTGCATTGTGCTTAGTACATTCAAGGCAATCAAAAAATGCACAAATTTGACATTATATGGTTCAAAATGAATTTAATCCAAATTATCCCTTTTAAGCATCTTTTCATGGAATTTTCTTCCACCATTCTTCACATATGAGACATATCCATGACATGTGATGGTTTGGTGTTGTAATTAACCTCATTTGGTGCAAGTTTGATGTTGGACAAAGTTCCATTTGAAGCGTGCAAAGTTGTGAAAATGACCTATAACAAAAATGACCTATAATCAAAGTTTCCCAAAATACCCCTGCCTTGCAAGCTTCATATCTTGAGCTCCACAAATCAGATGAAAGACTTCTAGTACTTTTTGGAAAGATAAGATCATAAGGAAAAACGTTTATGTTTGGGTCAAAGTGAGTAGAAACATCCTTCTAAGTCAAAAATGTCTTGGAAGTTGGTTGACTTTTGTTGACCAAAATCACATTCATCTGATGACCTGTAACTTGTCAACATCATAACATGAGTTCTAGAGACCCAATGGATGAGTTCTAGTACTCAAACGAAAGCTAGAAACATGCTCTACAAGTTTTATGTTGGAGTCAAGATGAGATGAAACTTGTACCTTGAGGTATGTGGTCTTGAAGTTAGGCACTAAATAGGGGATTTTACACTGACAAGCTTAGAAACCCTAGCTTAACAACTTCTCACACTCTTGATTCTTCTTGATTTGATCTTGGAATATCACCTTATACATCTTAGCACAACATTCAATGATCACAAAAACTTGGAATTGAGTCTTAATCTCCTTCAGATTCACTGTTGACTTAGGGTTGACCAGATGAAAACCCTAACTGCACCACCTTTAACTGTGGCTTCTTACACTTGATATAATGACTTGCACAAGCTCCTCAATGACCCTCAAGACATTCACTGAGCTTATATAATGTTCTCCATCCATAACCATGGACTCAATATCATCTGATGCTCTTCACATGGCCTCCAAGATATGAGGTGAACCATATTCATTCATCTGCTCTTTCCAAAGAACTTTGACTTTCCTCTGATGATGATAAGCTCTTGATAGCTTGAATAAGATCTCTTGGTGAACCTTAGAAACTTTGGGAATCTCCTCTTGCTAGGCACACCTTTCTCAATCCCTTGTATATGGACAATGGTATGCAAAATGCAAACGCTAATGCTAAATGCAAATGCTAATGCTATGAAAATGCAATGAAACATAAACCAAGTTAGAAAAAGGTTGGGCAAATTTTGGGGTGCAACAGCTGCCCCTATTCAAACAGCTTGAACCTGACTGAGTGAAAAGCGAACGGCTTTCAAACAATCCGGGTAAAAGACGGTTGAATACCAACGAACCCGAAAATTTGCCAACCGCAGAAATAAACTGCAAAATCTGCTTGGGGACAATAATCTCCTGAAATGACTGATAGTTGCAACGACAACAAGCTAACTGATTAACAATCTTTGATATGCAAATGGAACGACATCTACTAATGCGCAGGCAACGACACTAAGTCGGAAAGATCATCTGATATTATTAAGCATCTGTGTAACACCACAGGCCTCGAACCCTCGGCTGGATCATCACGCAGTTGATAAACTTCTACCGACCAGCAGACATTCACTAAGTAAAAGCGAGCATCGAACCCGTAGGCTGGATCAACATGCAGTTGATAACATCTGCTAACGCGCAGGCATTCGCTAAATAAAAGCGAGTATCGAACCTGTAGGCCGGATCAACATGCACTTGATAAACATCTGCTAACGCGCAGGCATTCGCTAAATAAAAGCGAGCATCGAACCCGTAGGCCGGATCAACACGCAGTTGATAACATCTGCTAATGCGCAGGCATTCGCTAAATAAAAGCGAGCATTGAACCAGTAGGCCGGATCAACACGCAGTTGATAACATCTCCTAACACGCAGGCATTCGCTAAAATAAAAGCGAGCATCGAACCCGTAGGCCGGATCAACACGCAGTTGATAACATCTCCTAACGCGCAGGCATTCACTAAATAAAAGCGAGCATCGAACCCGTAGGCCAGATCAACACACAGTTGATAAACATCTGCTAACGCATAGGCATTCGCTAAATAAAAGTGAGCATCGAACCCGTAGGCCAGATCAACACGCAGTTGATAACATCTTGATGAATCACAAGAAGACTCCGTTGGGGAAAAGAGAAACCCAACTAAGCAACTCTGACGTGGAGTACAAGATAAGATGAACACATCTATCACAAATCTTCTGTCGAGGTCTGAACACCTGTACGGACTTATAGAAACACAGATACCACAACTTGCTACATTCTGAACACCACGGGGATACAAGAATTAGTCGTCTGCTGAAGATACACCTAAAAGCAAACAGGTAACAACCTGGCTTATGTTTCAAATGCATATGTTTGAAAATGGCGTAATGTTCCATACAAAATGGAAATGCTACGCATTTGGGTAG